CTCACTGTCACATTCATAGTTGCACCTAGTCGGATGGCCTTCCAATTCACGCCTCACAATGAAGGCGAGCATGGTTGCTTCGAGTCTAGCATCATCTATGCTAACCTCATCATGGGAAAACTGATGGTCGATTGGGTAGACCTTTGGATACACGCGCGGTTTGTCCGCGATCTTAAACTGCTCACCATGTGCTGGTATCCTATTCATTTCAACCTTCGAGCTGAAACGCACGCTCGGGAGGGCAGGCACATGCTTCCAGTCCGACATGAGGTTCCCCTCAGCGATAGGGGCGTTCATCATGGAAGACAACAAGCATCCCAACACACAAACAGCAGCAGGGGAAGGCTTTCCGGAAGACTTTCCCTTGTGACCCTTCTTCTTCTCTCCCTTGGAGTCACGGGAAGTGGATCGAGAGGTCGACTTGGAACGATCCCTGCTCGACTTGCGATGCTTCCGGTCCTTTCCCTGCTTCTTTTGCTTGTCTGTGGAAGGCTCCCTTGACCCTGGAACGGCCGGCTTCGGATCGATGTGAGCAAATGGGCAGTTTTCACCACGGTCACATCTCCCCTTAGGGTAGAAACGGCACTCTTTCTTTCCCTTTGGGCTGTTCGTTCGGCCTTTACCCTTACCCTTCTTGGGCTTAGCGTCTCTTGATGGGGTCCTACCCCTGGCATCGCCCGATGGCTGTTCATGCTTGTACGTGCAATTGTCCCGCCGACACGACCCATACTTGACAAATGCAATGCAAAACCCCTTAGGCACACGTTGGCTCTCAGCAGCGGGTGCGGCTGGCCTACCCCCGTTCTGCCTAGCAACCCGTTCTCGGTTGCGCTCGAGCCTTGCTCGAGACAGGTATTGCCTCACAGATTCAATCAAGTAGGTGTATGAGTGATCGGCGGACTCTTCCGAGGCGCTCAAATAGACATTCAAATGGTGTTGCATTTGCTTGCTCTTTTTCAGCTGGTTGTAGAACAGAGCCTCAAGCATGGAGTCATCCGGCGTCTTGGCATTCATTCCTGCAAGAACACCCTCCCAGCTACGCATGAAGGAAGTGAGGTTATCGTTCACGAGCCTCACGTTGAGGAGATCCTCCATGGCATAGGTGGCTCCGTGCTTGATGTTCGTGCTCAGGTGCTCATGCACCATAAGAAGCACTTGTCTCCCACGAACTGGATTCCTCTTCTGCGCCTCTATCTCCTTGAAGGTGTCGACTTGTCTCGCCAGGTCACCCTGAATGATGTTGGTGAGGGCGGACAGCAACTTGGCGTCCAATGTGAGGAAGGCACCGGGATCTTTGAGCTCCTCGATTGTGACGGCGGGCTCCCACACTCTGCTGATCCACGTGAAAGCGTCATCGGGGCGGTCGGATGCCGCACATACGGCTTCCCGCACCTTGATGCGCCAATTCCTGTAACTCTCAGGAAGTGGGAAGGATGGAACAACAATCCTCTCCGCCTCCTTGACCTTGGGCTTGTCATGGTCTGCGTCCACTGCGCTCGCCTGCTTACCCAAGATCTTGTTGAGCTTCTTGCGGATCACTCGTGCCTTCTCCGATGATGATGATGAGGATGATGATGTTGAGGAGCTGGATGATGAAGAGCTTGGAGAGTCGGAAGGAGACCCACTCTTTCGCTTCTTGTGGCTCTTCTTCTTCTTCTTCTTGTCCTTTTTGCTCTTCTTCTTTTTATCCTTCTTCTTCTTCTTCTTCTTGTCCTTCTTGCTCTTCTTACCATCGTCATTCCCATCGTCATCGTCGTCGTCAGGATCATCGTCATCATCGGGATTACCGGCAGGTGGTTCCCCACCGCCTCCGCTTTGGCCATTCCCTGCGCCTGATGGACATCCGCCACCATCGTTAAGGTCCTGTGCCGGAGATGTCGGTTCGTAATCCCCGGCATCCCCGTCAAGATCATCGGCGGCACCTGGCCCGTCGCGGCGGAGTTCGGTGGAAGCTGACCTGACACGTACCTTAGAACTAAGATCCAGGCCAGGGGGAGGAAACGTCTGTACAGGAGAGGCCTTTGGCCTCAGACCGAAAATCGGAACATTAGAAGAACTACTCTGCTCACTGCGAGATTTCAGTTCATGACGTAGTGCCTCAATGTCCCTCGACTGCTTCATGATTATCTCCCTCATTTCAGCAGCGTTCCTGTCTGCATCCTCCTTCTGCTTGTTGTGGGTGACTTCCCAAATCAATTTGAGCCGTTCATACTTCTGTTCAGCTTCTGAGCGTTGAGCAACCCACTGCTGTCTTGCCTCGTTAAACTCTCTTTCTTTCGCCATTGCCTCTTGTTGGCATACATTGATGTGGTTCACCGCGTCCTGATAGAGTCGGCCTCTTTCCTCAACATGGCCGGCTTGGAGCTGATTGATGATGGCGTCGTGGCGTGCCGAAGCATAGGCAGCCACTTCCTCCGTGCTCGGACCTGTGTTGACCACATTCACCGTCTGGCTGTGTTGATATATATTCGGGGCGCTCACATGATGTTGATGAAGGTGAGTCTCATTCTTAGTCATGTGCGCGTGCATCTCTTGCCCAGGTTGATGTCCGGCGAGAGGTTCCCCTCCGCTTCCCATTGAATCCTCCGGAAGAACGACCGATGTGATGGGCACAAGCGCATCACCTTGGTCGGATTCAGGAAAACTGCTTCGGGAGCGCTGTGACGGATTGCATGGCGGTTTCCCTTCCGGATGCCCACCCTTGATCAATTCGTTGGCCACTGCTTCGTTCATCCTTGCTATGGCAGGGTGGCATCCGTCGCCGCTTGACGCCATCGCGGCGCGGGTGAGAGCTGACTGTACAAGGTACCAGCGATACGGCTGATAACCTGTTGAAAGGTGGGATCTACCTAAAAGTCAGCACGGGCAGCAGCTTGTTTTTCTTGAGCCAATTGTCATGTCAGTATGCCATTACCTATCAACAGCAGGCAACGGTTGCCCAACCTTCGCGGTTTGGCTAGAGACGAATCCTTGCGCACTGCAACACATTGTGTGTCCCTCAGGGCAGCATGGTCAGCGGTATGTGTCGGTGGCTTCAAAACAATGAGGAACCCTCGTGCCCCTGTCGCACTCCCAACGTTCCTGATATTTGACATGGGTGTGCCTTTTTGAGGGCAATCCTGGGTTCTGTCCAGATGTGCCAGCAGAATAATTGCCAGACAGCCAAAGGATGTCCATTTCTTCGGCGGATTCCCTATGAAGCAACTCGACTCAATTGCCCCCCAAACTAGGGACACCTGCTACTGATTGGTTTCATGATGTGTCCCTTTTGACCCCCCCCCTTTGAGCTGCTCGTTTTGCTGCAGGGTAGACTTTGTCATTTTCCCACCAACTCGAAACAAGGAACCTAGAAAGAAAACCTCCAGCGTGGGATTCTTTCTCATTGCCGCAAAGCTTTGCCAGGCAAGGATCTGCTATAGAATCACAAGGGCTAACCCCCAGATTCTTGCAAAGAGAGCAATCTCCACATGCAGCAAGGCAAGTGGTCAAACATGTTGTCTGAAGAAGAGCCATGGGAACCCTTGCAAGAAAATCTAAAGGCATCGAAAAGAATCCTGTTCCAGTGTTGAACCCCTCCCCCCCCCCACACGCATGGCCGAGCCGCGTGTCGCGGGCGCGGTGCGCCGCGGCAAGGATACAAAAGAAGGCAACGGCGCAGCAGCAGGAGGTCACCGTGAAGGTGACCTCAACGTAACAATGTCCCATTCAGTTCATCCCATTCAGTTCACTGGGCTGCCCGATTTCTGATCCCCCGCTAAAAGTGACTAACTTTTAGTGGGTCAAATGGAAACTACCACTAAACACTAAAAAGCTAAAAGGCTAAGGGGATGGCTGGGAGCCACCAAGTTCATAACCGTTTGAATTGGTTTCCCCTTGGCTTCCCCTCAAAAAATAGGGCACTCCAAAATTATGCCTTGTGTTTTTTTTCATGATGCCCACTGAGAGTGCATGTCAATCTACTTCAAACGGGCTTACTATGCATGAGTTCGAACTCGCCAGGGGTCATGCGGTGGGCTGACCAGGGGACCACTCTGGCAATGCAGGATCCACCCTTCCCCAAAAATAGGGACTAGTTTCATGTTGGTTCCCTAACGGTCAACAAAAAAACAGTGGAATCGACGCTGGGCCTGGAACATGTTGCCTATGTTTGCGAAAGAGCCCCACCTTTCAGGAGAGTTCCTTCAAGGTTTCCCCATTTTGAGCAACATACCTTTCTTGACGGTCGCGTTCCAGCACCTCAGGGTGCATCTGAGAAAGTCGTTGGTCCCGAGTGATGTCAAACTACCGGGACCCAACATGGTGCCGGGCTCAAGTTGGTTTCCCTGTAAACCAACCCCAAAAGGGTGGCAAATCTCAGAACCACACACATATCCAGGGAAACAACAAGGACCCACCAAAACCAAGGGGGTACGGCAAGCAAAGACCCAAATCGATCTAGGCCCTTCCCCATCTCCTCCAAGTGGCGCCGAAGCAGCCAGGCCCCAAGCAGACAAGATGGCCTGCCAGAAGCCCCCAAACAAATGCTAGGGAACCACGAAAGCCGCGCAAAAACAAAGCAAAACCGGAGACAAACGCTGATGGGGGGAAGGGTTTTGGTCCACAGGTCTTGTGGTGACTTGCAAATTTGGAGAGCGGCTTGGGTGATGGGTGGGCTCGGGAAAACCTGCACGTAGACTACCGCCAAGATTGGGTCTTGTCTTCTCGGGTATGTACCCAAATTGGCAGCTCTGGTTGGCGCTCAAGCATTCCCAGACAGAATGCCACTCGCTTGGCACATGACCATCGGGGGTTGACACCTTTTGAAAGAAGCTTTCACATGCAAAACAACCCCAGAACAATGGGCTCTTGTTGCTCTCAAAACACGCAACAACGCAACAAACAGGAAATACTTGTATGAGCTGAACCCCAGATGGTAATCCAAAAGAACCGGGTTCAATCCCAAGACCACCAATTCAGGATGACCTGATGTAAAACACGCACACCCACACACACACACACATTCACAATTCAACCTCTCGTCTGACACGCAACTGGAAAGGGGCTTGACACACCAAAACTGGAAACGGACGCCATCCCTCGATCTCAGCGCCTTGTCGCTCGGCCTCGGCGTCGTAGAGGCACCCTGCCAGCAGGTCGCTCAAGACCAGAGAGCCCACGCAGGCGGCTGTGAAGACACAGCTGTACTTCACAGGCATCTCCTGGAGAAAAGCTTGGTGGGAAAATGAAACGGTCCAGCGGAAAAGGGGTGGAGGGGGGAGAAACTAAAATCATGATATGGCACCCTAAGTCCAAGTATCCCCAGCCGCAGGACTCCTGTCGGGAGTCCAAGGTCGGGATTGACATCACCTCTACCCGGGATACAAAGCGAAAGGCTCTGGAAGCAAAGCCGACCCACGTCTTTCAGGACTGCCTGTTCAACCCCCCTCTTTAGGGAAATAAACAAAATGAAAGGAGACCCTGGAAAGAGGTTGGGTTGCACCTCATTCCCTTGTGTGGCAACGGAGGGGGTCGCAAGTTGCACATCGATTGACCCGAAAGTAACACCTTCGTTTATCAGGGGAAGGGGACGCTTGAAACTGTTAAAACACCCGGGGAGCGCTTCAAAAGGTCTGAGGGGCCAATTCCAGTCGGACCCGCCACAAATCCACTTGGATGTTCAAGCTACTTTCCCAGCTTGCAACCATGGTGAAGACTTGTCAACCAGCCCCCGGTTTGGACCTTGGCTACCCGCTGACGTACTGTGGATAGACGAAATCCTGCACCCCCTGCACTGATGATTCCCCTGTAAATACCAACAAACGTTATGGTTTCAACCATGGTTTCAAAGTGGTGTAAACGGACTTCGTCCATCCACAGTAGGTCAAACATTTGAGTGCCTTGAGACGAAGCAAAAAAAACAAAAAAGCGGCCTTGGGGCCAAAGATCTCCTCGATGACCACCTTGGCGTGGGAAAATGTTGGGCTTCCTTTGGAGCCCTGTGGTTTCGTAAAAGAAGTTAATGGGTGGCTTCCCGTGGGGTTCACCAAACCACCAATCCAAACCACCCACCCGTCGCCCACTTGGTTGGTTCGTTCGCTTTTTTCTCGGCCGGCCGGCCGCTGGGTCAAGGAAACTCGCTGCAACTTATGAGGTAGTAACACCCCCCTCCCACTTGAAGCATCAGGCGCCTTCAACAACACGCGCCTTCAACAAACTGCCGTCCTCGGCCGCTGGGTCAACTCTGGCGCCAAGGCGCGGCCTGCAGCGCAAAGCTGCCGCCCAGGCCAAAGCCCACCAGCCCAGCCGCCGGCGCCAGCATCACCTGCTGCCGAGAACAAATCGTGGAACGTTCGTTGAACATTCGGGAAATTCGTCGAACCCCAACTGTAAGAAATGGGCCCCTTGTGATGCCAAAGTGGAATTCACAGAAACATTGTCCCGGTTCCTTCCGTATCACAAAAGGGCCAGCCCCCCATCCCAAGGGGACCGCATGCTTTAGTCTTTGGTTCAATTTACCAGGGTTCCATTTTCGGTCTCTATTTTTGACCCACAGCCACTTGTCCCACAACCCTGAACAGCTTTGAACTCCTCAATTGAGCCACAATCAACAAAACAGCGGATATTCCGCCTGTCCCATCTTTACTTGGCTTTGGGCAAACCGCTTGAGCAGGGCCTGACTGTGACTCAGGTGCTTCGACGCGCCCACAGATCAGTTCTGGCTATCCGATTCTCCAGCCAATAGGAGAGGCAACAAAATGGCCATGGTTCTCCTTGTTTCTCCTATCATGACTTCATTGACTCTGAAGTACCCCAAGTTCAACTCCATCCTAAGCAATCAGAAACACACAATGCTTAATTGAATTGGCACAATCATCGTTTGGTCATGACTCCAATCGAATACTTTGGCATTGTCTCTAGTTGAAACCATGCGGTCTTCCTCTAGTTTGAAGATGTTTGAAGGAGCATTAATTACCCCACGGGCTTGCTGAGCCCAAATTGTGCAGCTTTTTCTTGGCCGCTTACACTGTCTCACCGCCCACCCCCCCCTCCCCCACCCATGCGGGTTCTGATCAAAAGGTCCTTTACACGGGACGACCATCACGGAAACCACCAAAAAAGATGACTTGTCCCACTGAGCAGGAAGAGCTACCCATGGTCATTTGGGGCCGAGGGGAATCTTGATCGACCACCACGTGCGTTTCGCGTTTCGCGCCTCGCCCAGCTGAAGGAGCACAAAGGCCAGCGTCATGAGGCACGCAGAGATGCCCAGAAACCAGGGCCGGTTCAACCAGTCCTTCCTCGGAGGGCGGGGGGGGTTTAGTTCGGCGCCGTGGTTTTTGGTTTGGACATGTTTGGACCAAAGCAAAATGGGTGGTTGTTAAGTGGGTGTTGGTTTGGACCCCAAAGCAAGACATGTGTTTGTTAAGTGGTTGTTGGTTTGGACCAGACTTTTTAATAACTGTCACGAGAAATACCGAAAGTTGGATGTCAGCATCCTGAAAGACGCTTCGCAAGCTGGGTGCAAAGTACTGCAAGTCAACGAACTGCCACGTCGCTTGGGTGTGGCTCCCCTAAAGCCCGCAAGCTCGCCGTCCAGTCAAACTCGCATCTTCAACGACACGCAGGATGTCCTTTACGAGCTGAGAGGTGGCGCAGTCCTAGTCTTCCAAACCTTCCTCTCAACCTCCTTTGTTTTAATATAAAAACTTAGTTGACGTTGGAAGGGGAGCAAAAAGTTAAATGTTAGCAGTTAAGTGGGGAGTTCCCACTAAACCACAACAAGCAAACATGTAAATGTTTCCCAACAACAACCATGAAGCCTTTGGCAGACCGCTGAACACCTGACACGGATTCTCCATAAACTCCAGCGATCCCCGTTTGAAACACCAAGGATTCCCGTCGATTTCCCTCATTGCAAGTGGAAAGCCGGAAAAACCTTGCAGAAGACGCTCCAGAACGTTGAAAGCTTTCCGCGGACAAATATGGACACATGCTATTGAGATGTTCCTCTAGGAAACAGTTTGGGTGTGGCTTTTGTGGATCACCCTGTGGGATACTGACAGAGTACACTCAAAGAACACTAAAAAAGAACCCACAGGGAGAATGGTGGAACAATGATTGATTTTCCTGTTGGCTTCCCTGTAAACCAAGGCAAAAGGGGAAAAGTCTCCTCCTGCAGCCACAGGCACTGAACAGAACTCCTCAAATAAGGGGATGCTCAGACATTGGTCGCTTGCGTGAACGGAACCACAGGCCCTGAATTTTGTGAAACGCCCTCTCTTTATACAGCATCGCCCTCGCAGGACCGAGCTGCCAGGATACCACTTTTGGTCATGGCTCGCGAACCCACGGCTCCAACTCTTGGAGGTCAGCTTCCTTCTAACTGGTGGTTTGGAGCCCGATGGTTTGTTGCGCAAAGGCCAGGGGATGCCAGGGGTTCAAATCCCCAAACCACCAATCCAAACCACCAATCCAAACCACCAACTAGGGGTTACCTGATTTGGACAAGAGGCCCTTTCCAATTTTTAGGTGCCAGTTCCAGCATGTCCAGAAGTTCCAGCCCACATGTTCACTAGGGATCACTACCCGCCCCACCTGACGATGTGCTCCTTTGATCGCCCTCAAAAAATTAACCCCTTGGGGCACAGAGCCAACACCACACGGGTCTCGAAATTGGGGGACAAAACGATTGATTTCCTTTCTGGTTCCCTTTCCATCCCACCAAAAAGGCGTCCCCCCCCCCCCAAAAAAAAAACAAGCCACACTCGTGCCCTTCGATGTCATTGGGGGAACGGGCCGCCTAAATTAGAGGCGCGGGCGCGCGCGCCCGAGGCCGAGGCGCGCCGACTCCGAGCCGAAGCCGATGAAGATGCGGCCGCAGGTGTTGAACACCGAGAACAAGGACAGGTACCCCGCGCTCGAGGCGGAGGCATCTTCGGACACCGCCTGGGTGCTCATGTCGCACATAGGAAGCTCTGATCCCTCTTTTGTTGTTTGGCAAGCCCCATAAAGACTCAGTTTGGGGCGCTTTACAAGGAAACGCAAGCTTTGAGCAGTTGGTGTTGCACTCCCTTTTCTGGGCCAAAAAGTTTGCCCCTTCCGGATGCCTGATGAGGCTCCTTGATTTGAGAACACCCTCCTCCCAGGGTCCAACCTGAAGTCCAAGAAGAGCGCCTTTTGAATTAGGGGAGGGAAGTATTCAGATTAGCAAGAGAGCCGGTCATTCTTGGTCAACTCTCCAAGTTGGCTTTCCACAAGTCTAGCTGCTTGGCTCCACTTGGCCGGGTAGCAATCCAAACGACCTGTATCCCTTGTTGATCCCTGTGTCGAAGGATCGAGACCAAAGAGTCTGAGGCCCGCCCCGCCCCCCCCCCCCAAACAAAAAGCGAGGAGACACAAATATTCGGGGGGACCTTCATTATTAGGTGGAAGTTATTATTACTCTCTCTCTTGTGCTGGCATCGTTTTCAAATCCGGACAGCCTTAGTTGCAGCCTCTCGGAACGCATGTTGCCCCAAAACCCTGCCTTCACTATCTGGCTGAAGTTGTTGGACAGCATGATGCCTGCACCCTGGATGGAAACAAAGGCGAAGAACCTGATGCCACGCATCGAAGCATTGCGATATGAAGAAGTGCGACGGGCTAATGTCAACCCCATACCAACCAACCCCAGTTTATTACTAGAGGGTGTTCCCCTCCAAAAGTGATGATTCCCCACTGATGCATTTTTATGGGGTCAACATTACTTTGTAAGTGGCTGGCATGCCAGTCCTCTACCCTGTTACAGTTCCTGAGTAGGTACAACCGGCATTGCTGGCCAACTTGGGGGAGGTTGAGAAACATCCACTCCCGACGGCCTCCTTGAAAGAACTCACACATGCAGCTCTGGGTCAGCACGCAAGTAAACACATGCCGTGCAAACCCGATCCTCCCTTCGGTGCTCGGTGATTTCTGGCAAGCGGAATGGAGCTGAATTGCAGAATTTGCGATCGGACCTCGAGACATGGGGCTCTTTCCTTAGAGAGAGAGTTCCAAAATGGCTGTCGTTCCTTTGGGTTCCCTTGAGAACCAGGAACAGAGGGGACTGGAGCCCTTTGGTCGACAGACAACGAGGCTTCCTACAAGCAAAGTAGATGCACATGCTCCCAATTTGGTTTGGTTTCAAAGGGGAAATCGCCGTTTTGAGGTCCGATTTAGACACATACCCCGATGTTAGGACACTCTGGCCAGGTGGCAAAAGGTAGAAGTCGACCTTCTGCAGCATTTGCCAAGCAGAAATGTCCGGTCGCTCCACCTCCCTCCTCCGAAAGATCGAATACGTGCACCGAAAAAAATCCCGTGGGAGCAACGGGCTACTGGGGAAGCGGGCAGAAAACTCCCGTAGTTTCCTCGTGGACTCATAACCAGAGGTACAGTGGATCCCCTACATGTTGAGTAGAGAACAAAGGAAACCCTGCAAATCCCAATGGTTTGTGGCTGGTTTCCTTGCAATAGTGTAGGGCATCCACCGTATGGTTCCAAAAAAGGTCTGCTATCCACTTGTTACTAAGTAGCCTGCCTCTTTGAGTGGACTGATTATCTGTTGCGAAGCAAAACCTTTTTCACCAATAGACGCTCCAAAGCCACGTGAAGAGGGTCGAGCGAATTGAATGCGGAATTTCCCCAGGGTTTGAGGGCATCGCGATTGTCTGTGACAACAAAGACGCTGAGACATCATACTGTGGATGGTTGCGAAAACCATTTCGCACCACCAAAGAAACCCTGGTTTCTGATGATTCCCCCGTAAATACCAACAATCAATGGATTCCCATGGTTTCAAAGTGGTGCAAGATCTCGTCCATCCAAAGTAGCACTTTGAGATTCAACCACAAGCACCGCGCTAAGTGGCACGTATGAAAGGTACAAGTGTTTTGTTTTCCCCGTCAAGTGTCACTCAAAACAAGTCAGGAGGGAGGGTGCAACACATGTATTGGGTATGCGCGTTTGCTTGTGCTTTGGCAAGTCATATGGAACGAGTGTCCTGATTCAAGTTCACATTACTGAAATTGGGAACTCAGCCTCCCGCAAGGTGCTCTAGGGCGTGCCGTTGTTTGAAAGGAGGGGGGCGGCTATTTTGAGACAAACTCATAATATGAGTATGTGCATATATACATACAATAATATATATATATATACACATCGATATACATTGATGATGTGTGTACTGTATTTGTGCCTGCTTGTGCCCAGGCGATAATTTGTGTCTAGCAAGGTCCCGCATGGCCCCGACAGTATGAAAGGCTCCCGCATTTGGAGGTAGCTTCGGATTCGATTTCCATACCCCAAACCATGAGCCGCTGTCTAGCTTTCATCAAAGAGTGCCCGCTTTTCAAGACTGAATTGAGGTGACAGCCATGAAACTTCATGACACCATGGAAAACAAACTCCCAGAAAGCCATGGCTTTTCGGCTGGTTGACTTCAAAGTCACACCCTTGGAAACGACTCTATCACTCTGACCTCACTCCCTTCCGTTCAATCCCAGGCGCCGAGCCAGTAAGGATCCCGGGTGCAGAGACTGGCGAGAGCTGCTACGTGTAAGGAGTAGGAGCCCGAAGGGCAAGAGGGCCGCCACCTAAGCGCAGGCCAATTTGTCCGTGTCTGCTCGATTTGCCAAGTTAGTGGTTAGTATCCGTTGGGGTTAGATCCTTGAAACCGGCCCAACTCACGAAGTTGGTTATAACCTAGGCCAACCACTAACTTGGCCGAACATCCAAGTACCAACTTGTCAGCGACAGTGAACCTGGGAATGTGGAAAAACACATTTTCAGGGTGGCCTATATTCCCATCACCTAAACATCACCTAAGGAGACTTGAGGTTCCGACTAGCGCGATGGGCCAGCTGTAGGCCTTGAGGTAGACGACGACCCCACAAAAGCCGGTGTAAGCCAGCAGTGCCACGGTGAGGAAGGAGAACTTTCTGGACACCACCTTCTCTTCCTCCTGTCGGCGAATCCTTTGGCGTTCTTGTTTTGACTTTTGGTTGGTTACATGGCTCTCCTCGTCCTGAGCGGTTTCCTTTTTGGGTTCCTGGCAAGTCAGCGGGTTCCCGTGTTTTTTAGAGCCGGTTGGTACACGTGGGTTCTCTTCCGGAGCCAGCGCGCTCCGAAAAGCTGAAGCTCGGGTTCGGCCGATTCAGATGATATACCAAACCTCGGTTGCTTTCTGCTCCCCTGCTAAAAGTGGTTTAGTGGAAAACCCATTAGTCGGCAAAAAGTTAAAGTCCTAACAGCCAAGCAAAATGCACCAAAGAAACCAAACAGCCGGGGTTTGGCAACCTCGGCCCGACCTTGAGCTGGGCACTCTGGCCAACAACCTCCCAGTTGCGACTCTCGAACAGCTGCAACTTCTCCCAGGTTTATGCGAATTTGGTCTGTCTCGGTGGCCCAAACCCTAAAATGAAGCAGCTATTTGCCCTCCCACCAATTAACAGCCGGAGCCTGACAAAAAGTCTCTTTAAAAGGAAAATCCAATCCAGGACCCCCCGCTCAGGTTCCATGTGAAAGGGTTCTACCTGAACGCCATGGTCTGCTTGGACCCGTTTCACAAGAACTAAAGCCTTGAGGCCCCATGGCATTCTGGTAACTCCCGCATGAAATGATCGCCTCGGTTGCATCCACTCAAGCCCAACATGAGCATGAAATGAGCTGGCCTGGTTGGGAGGCTAATGAGCCGAGCCAGCAAAGCTTCAAAGGGCCGAGCTCTTGCAAACAGGCACAGGCAAAGGGCAAAGTTCCCTATAGATCTATTGGACAACGCATGAACAATCCAAAGAGGTACAATATGATTGGAAGGATTGAGTATTTCTTGTATGAAGGTTTGAGACAACACTGGAGACCTCTCCTGTGGATTGTCTCCCTTTTAAGCCTTTTTCGATAAGCAACAACAGAGCCAGAGCGCATATGGGGCACTCTCGTAATCTTCTAATGTCATATTAGGTGCCTGTGGTGATGTTGAAGTTTGCTCATGTGCCATGGTCGAAACTCCTTCCAACCATGCAAATTCATGGGCATATCTGGATTATATGGTGCGAATAGGAAAAAAATAGGGTTCATTTCCTAAAATGGATGGTGTCTCTTGGTTTCCCTTAAGCACTGACCAACAGGACCACTATTTTGAGATCCCTCCCCCCCCTCCCTTCGGGCATGTAGTAAGACTTCACCCGACATCCGCGATACCAATATGTGTCTTCTTTTGGGGGAACCCACAGTTTGGTGAAGGGAAACCTGCATGAAACCTCACTTCCTGAGTGGCCAAAGAAAGTCTGAACTGTCCCCCATACCGTAATTTACCATGGTTGTGTACTTGCAACATTGAAGGTTTGTTGAGAGTAGGGGCCCCTCTTGGTTCCTCATTCGGCGGCAGGCACGGCATTTCTTTTCTCCATATGTTTGACCACACCCACGGCGAACGGAGGTGCGGATGCGGCATCCGGCTCCTGGCTGATGTCGTTGGCCCAGCGGATGATGGGCGCTGCCGTCAGCCCCACCGCCAGACCCGTGAAGGCGATCGCCAGCGGGAAGTACTCCATGTCGTTGTCCCCCAAAAAGCTGAAGAACACCTCACAGCGCCATTTGAACAATTTGCTTTTTGTTTGCTTGCCACTTGGCCATGGGTCAAAATCCCGTACCCCCAGTAAACATCCCAATCCCCACTAAAATGGACTAAAATGGGTGGTGCACCTACCCCAAAATGGTACCATTGGTTTTCACACACAGCCACTTGTTTTTCTCACAGTGGATAGGCCAATAAGTCTGTACCATGGATTGGCCAAGTCGAAACTCTGTGACAAAGGACACTAAACATGGTAACAAACCAAGTATAAAGTTCAGGAACGCGGGGAGGGAGCTTAACTGTGTTCCCTCCCCTTGATACATCCCGAACATCACTTTGATGGTGATGTTGGCTCTACCAAGATGATGAAACAACGGTTTCTTTTTTTCCTGAGCCTTACTATGACCATAAGGCCAGATAGAACCTACTAAAATGGCCCTTTTCTTTTACCTCAGAGCAATGCCTATACACAAAATCCTTGGAAGCTCTGTCTAACCGATGTAGCCGTCAGTTCTAGAGGGTCATCACTAATTAAGTTTGGGCATGTCTGGTCAAATGTACATCTCATCCAAGGTAGTATGCCGCTTTACGGAAAACGAAGCCAAATGCATCGGGTCTTTGCATGAATTGAAAAAGGGAGCGGTGGATTGATTCAGGTTCCCTCTTTCAAAATTGCCCCAACAGGAGCTCACTTTTCACTGGCGGATCGAACAGGTGGTGTTTAAACCAATCCAACAATGGGCGTGTGTGTGTGTGTGTGTGTCTCAAAAACCCCTCAAAGTTGCTTTGCTTCCTTTTCCTTCCCTTAAAACAACTCTCCTGAGAGGAGCATTTTTTCCCCCAAAGGGCCCCAAAGCCAACCCGGTCCGCTCGGTCCATCCCCCCCTGGCGCGCCGTGTTGGCCACCGCCGCCGTGAGCCCCTCCATGGCCTTCATGAGCCCCACCGCGCTGCCTGGTCAAGGGCTGGTTTTTCATATACGGGGCGGTTAAGGGCCCATTTCTCGAGAACCAGAAGATAGGCGTCTTTTTGTGTCTGTCTGCGCTGGGTTCGAAGGGGAAACTCATTTTGGACCGAGGCTGGGCCGCTCGTTGGGATCCAGAAATAAATCGATCAAATCAACCCGGTGGGTTCTGGGAAAACAAGACACGACACTTGCTGGTTCGATAGGGGAATGAGAAATGGAATGACCCTGAGAAAAACCATCCCCTATGGTTTCCTTTAAGGGAATTTGGGAATTTCCCAAAAATGGATACACACAAATTTGGCTCAACAAAAGGGTGTGGCTCAACACTAACTGGCTCAACACATTGTTTCTTCATTTTGGGTGTGGCTCAACAAAAAATGGATTTCATCAAAATGGGTTGCCCTGGTGACTGGAAAAGTAGGGAGAAACACACGGAGAAAAACAACTGCGGTCTCCTGGCGAACACAAAAAAGAGTGAGCCACTCCCGTCCACTAACAGGAAAACTTCCTGACGTTTCGGGTGGAAGACTATGCCTTTTCTCAAAGCGACCGCCTGGTGGATTCCACGTTGGAGGAGGAGGGAAACAGACTTCTTTTTGGGGGGAAAGGAATAATATGCTTTTCTTGTTTGTGGAATTTATTGGGGGCCTTAAATGGTCTTGGACGAATCACCAAATGGCTATTAGCCCTGGTTATGGGGGACTTACAACCATGCTAAGTGGGTTGCAACCAGGGCTACTAATCACTTAGCTAACTCCCAGACCATCTAAGTAGAGAAAACCCTCATGTGTCAAACAAGTAAAGGAGAAATATAGGAAGCCCTGTGGGAAGATGGTCGCTATTTGGACAGCACTGCGGTGCGGAGGATATCCCTTCACATTTGAGACTTGAATACCTCAAGTTGACAACCACCAGAAACAGAGTACCTAATACAAATACCAATCATGAGAACCCTTTTGTCATCGCTGACGACCGAGATGTCCTCTTGCTTGCTTGCTTGCTCCCGCCTTTGTGCTGCGGAAAGTTGCGCACGCTGGTGGAGATGCCAGCGTTGTCGCAGAAGCCCATGCTATGGCCAAAGAGGCCAAACAAGAGGATCCTGACGGGCACGCCACAAGTCGACTTGACATCGCCCCAAAACCATACCCATCCTGAGGGAGCGTCATGGGGTCATGAGGGACTCCGATTATCGAAAAACCGGGGATTCGTTTTCGGAAAGAAACCCTGCACATCCAGGAGCCCCAGTACCCGGACCAGACTTGCGTGATTGGATCCTGGCAACGGCTTTGTCGGTGCCGACCAGCATATGACTTGTTTGGTATTTTTGTCGCCACTTGGCTGTGTGTCAAAGCCTATGGGATGCAGCTTCAGGGGCCATAGTTCTGGCTGAAGCGGTGCCGCCCATCCAAATCGGATTGGTGCCCTGCCAAAACATGGCTTGATAAACAAACAAAAAATGGATCCAGCGCAGGAGGGACCAGCGACTTGTGATGACTTAGAGGATAGTCGGGGAGTCAAACAGGTTAAGTTAACAACACCCTGCCAAAGACAAAAAAAATACAAAACAAACCCTATATATATATATATATATTGTATATATATATATGTATATTGGGGATCTGGGATTACGGCGGCGGTCTGCGGAGGAAGCACCTCTGGGCCGAAGGTTGATCTACAGGTTGGAAAAATCAGGTTGGCTCAAACTGTGACTCTGTGCTTCCAGTTGTAGTGGGCACACAAGTATATATATATATATATATGTTGATGTGTATATATATACACATATTATGTACATGCAAACATATAACTATGCATGCATGCACGTAGGTAGGTAGGTAGGCATGCATGCATGTATGTATGTATGTATGTATGTATGTATGTATGTATGTATGTATGTATGTATGTATGTATGTATGTATGTATGTATGTATGTATGTATGTATAAATATAGTTGTATGTACATATGCATATATGTATATATGTAGATATTGATATATATATATATATAGTTGACATTTTTGTACATGCCACCCCTTACCTATGGGAACCGGAAGCAGTGGGTGGTTCAACCCGAAGCGATACAAATCGGCACTTGTTCCCTTTTCGGCTTTTCAGTCCCAGGCGCATGGCCGCGAATGGTAAGTTGCTGCCTCGGAATGGATTTGCTGGACCGGTCGGGGGGAGGTTCCAAAGAAAATCCATTCTGGAGGGATAAAGACTTCCTGGCGTGCGGTAGGATTTTGGGAATGAACAAAGGGAGTCCCTGAAAGGAAATCATGGGATGGTTTACAGGGGTCATTCCCTCATTCCCTGCTGTTCTGGAGGGATAAGCATCGAAAGCTTTGGAAGGGCAGGGCAGTCCCCAATATTGATTCTGAAGTAAACCACCCAACCCATGTGAATCTTTTGTCCAGAGAGTGAATTACTCAAATGAGTGGGTGTATGTTGGATGTAATGTCAACATTCAAAAAGGCCGACAAAGTCTTGGACAAGCCCCGCACGGAAATGCAATTGAGTTGTGAGACACAGAGAGAAAGGGAGCACTAAAAAAAACAACTGGGACCGGTACTCATTCATGATCTGAGATGTAAAACCAACTGCCGCTTTGTTTCACCAACACGGGTTGGCCTTTGTATCATGAACCCAGATGTCATACACCAATTTCCAAAAGCTGTTGAATTCTAGATGGGTGTGAATTTTGATTAGGCTCCCTTTGGTGGACATCATGGGGTGGAGCATTTGGAACATAGCTCCAAGGCTTTGATTGTTGCTCATGCTTGCGTTGCTCCCATGCGGAGCCCTGCAGCCACAGGAACCGGCCTAGCAAACTTTTTAAGCGCCCCTCACAAGAAGCGGGCGTTGACAAAAGGAGATTGTTCAGACCCCATTCGGGTAGCACAAATGAGGCCCCAACAAATCGGCACACATTGGAGCAGCAGGTTGATTCCAGTTGAACTAACCGGACCCCGCCAGACTGCATCACAATCTGCATCATGTGTGTGGGTATGCTTTTCTTAGGATGTGGACCCTCCAAAATTGTGTTTTTGCTTTCGATTTCCCTTGAAACCCACAAACAACAGGGCACCGCCATGGATATTTTTCGGGGTTCAGGCGCCATATGGCGCCATACCTGGAAAATGAGTCTTTCCACGGACTCACCTGACAATTTTCAGAGCCATTCGGGAGCGTGCTTTCTTGAGGTATACTCATTTTAAGGTTGGTTTAAAGGAACATCGAAAAGAGAACCATCTTGTTTTTGGGCAACCCATGTGTTCCCTCAAATGCCCATTTTCGCAGATCCGAGTGAATGATCACCCAGCGGCCCAGGGAGGCGAAAATGGCGATGCAGCTGACAGCCATGGTCAAGGTCCCAATGGCCACGGACGCGTGGGCGCCGTAGTGACTGGTCACCAAACCCGCGTCCTCGGCTTGCCCGAGACGAGACTTCGCTGCGATGCGGTTCGTGGAAAACGAGTTTGAGACAAACAAGGAGACCTTTTTCGGGGCAGGCCAAGCCTGCCTGTAAGCAATAAAACAAGCGAGCAACAAACATGCAAAAGACCGACCGACCAACCCACTGACGCACCGACCGACCCACCTACCATCAGCCAACCAACCAAGCAAGGTTCGTGGCTGGTCTTCGCCTGGCACCTTTTCGTCCGGCCTCTGCCTGAGCTGTTCGCGTCGAGCCTTCGGCTAGAGCACTCTTGAAAAGTGCTTTTCATCTGACCGTCGGCCTGATGCCTTTTCGTCCGGCCGTTGGGCCTTTCTGGCACCCCTTGACTCGGGCGAGTACTTTGCCATGGCTCGCCACGTGGACGCGCAGGTGGAATTGAATGGATCAGGTTCCTCGACCGACATATTTGTTCGGGCAATGCTATGCGCAGTGGGGCGCGTTACGCACCACATCACTAACCAAGTTAGCAACCAAGCACAATCAAGCAACATCTGACACAGACAGACAGACAGACAGACAGACAGACAGACAGACAGACAGACAAACAGACAGACAGACAGACAGACAGACAGCCAGCCAGACAGACTGTCAGGCAGGCAGGCAGGCAGACAGACACAGACAGACAGACAAACAGACAGCCGGCCAGACAGACTGTCAGGCAGGCAGGCAGGCAGACAAATACAGACAGCCGGCCAGACAGACTGTCAGGCAGGCAGGCAGACAGACACAGACAGACAAACAGACAGCCGGCCAGACAGACTGTCAGGCAGGCAGGCAGACAGACGCAGACAGACAGACAGACAGCCGGCCAGACAGACTGTCAGGCAGGCAGGCAGACAAACACACAGACAGACACATACAGGATAGACAAACAATCATCAGAATCCTGTAAAGTGCTGCCAAGCAGCCATACTAATGAAGTTTCCCAGGTCCTTCGCGAGAGCCAGCGTATCCAGCTGCGCCTGGGGATTTGTGACATGTCGAAAGTAGGTCCTGCCCCCTGCGCATAATATGTGTGTTTTTGTTGCATCGTTTCAAAGGAACACCAAAAGGAAACCGAGGAGTGCTCCCGAATTTGAGACAAAGCGATATTTTCAGGCGTCAGCGCGCTTCCTGACTGGGGGAAGAACAAGGGTCCACAAAGGGCATCCCTCTTTTGAACCCTCGCTTCCGTCCCCCTGGCTTCGGGATGGCCTGGGAATACCGAAAGGAGCTCTTAACCACCGGGCTCCACAACCCGAAGGTGTAGGTGAAGCCCGTCAAGAAGCAGGTGAAGCTTCCTGGCGTTGACTGGGTGTCTCCCTTTGAGGGTGCCCCTTCTGAGGTGGGTTTAAAGGGGAACCAAAGGGGGCCCTATGTTTCTCTTTGATGGATTGCAGTCCTGTGGAGTGGCATTGAACCCTAAAAAAACACCAAATCTGTTTTTTGAGGGGCCTCCTTTTTGGGGACCCACCTCAAAAAATGGCCGTTGATGTGGAACCCTGCCGCTCTTTCACAAAAACTATCCGCCCTTCGAGGTAATGAACCACCTTTTTGTATCAAAGAAGCGAAGCAGGGATATATCAGGGAAGAGTCAGTTTCAGTGGAAGTAGGGTTTGCTTCTAAAAAGATGCGGTAGCGGGTTCGCTAGTTTCTCAAGAAAAAACCTAGCCCCGAAGAGCAAAGCGGAGCCATTTGAGAGCGCCCTTGCAATTCCCAAAGCGGGCTGAGGACGGAAGAGGAATGACTTTCGGAAGATCACGGAAGACTGCCCGGAAGACAACGGAATTTAGACAAATCTTCCATCATCTCCCCCTTTGCCTATGGTTCCCATGGTTGCCCTATGTTTTCCCAATGGTTTTCGACTTTCGGAGGAAACCAGGCTAAAAGTGTGTGGTGCTAATTTCCCCACCTGAACAAGACAGCACCTGCACTCCCTTCATAAAACCTTCCTTCACTGTGCCCGAGCTTTTGCCGCCCACAAATTTGGGTCACAGGAATTCCAGCTAGCAAAAGTGGCAGTCTGGCAACTCAGCTGCGCAGTCCTGCAAAGAAGGTCCACCAGGCTCCATTGCTGACCCCGCGCTGTCGCGACATAGGCCGGAGGAAAGCCGCCGAGTTCGGCTTGAGCGCACCGTTGGGCACACAAAACGCATTCTTGACATGGGCTCTTTGGGATATCGGTGTCTTGCTCAAACAACCTGAGAACCAGTGTCTGCTGTTCAGGCTGCAGGGCATGCCCGGCCCATCCATTGCACCATAACAGCTAATGAACGTCTCACCTTAGAGGAGCTCCGGGTTTGCCGTTGAGGCTTTTGGGTTAGGTGAGTAAGCCACCTCGGGGATGATTTGTGGGGGCTGAGGCTTGGAAATCTCGACTCAAACCTTACCCACTCCTACCCAACATGTGAGACAAATCAGAAATTGCCCAGCGCCCGTGAAATCAGTTGCCGCGTGGAAGGAATTGGCAAGTGGGAGACTCCTTGAGCCACAGCATGTCTTCGAACAAGCCAGCGTCTCCAAAGCCTTGCCCAACATGAAAGAGAAGCAGAAATCAGAAAGGATGGCCACAAATCAAAGACAAGCACGGGGGCAACAAAAGGCAGGATGGAAGGCAGGCAGGATCGACAGTGAAAGAAAGAAAAAGGAAATGAACAGGAAAAAGGACAAAATACTGAAGGAAAGAACAGAAAGAAAGCAAGTTGAAGAAAACCACAAACGAGACTGTGA